TGAAAACAGTTGGAGATCACCCTTTTACTATTTGCCCTCTGATTCTTGTTAACCACTCCTATTACAATTTATTAATTCATGCATTCTGCCATTCCTCTCTATTTTTCCCCTTATTTTTCCCAGGGCTTCTCAAAAAAGACTAAATGATAAAACGCAGTAGCTATTGGATCGGATACTAGTGGCTTAATGATCTACGGAACCAGAAGGTCCTGTGTTCCTACCCCGGTGAGTGCGTTTCGATGAAGAGTCCCAAATTGGGACAAAACATCCGTCCAGTACTCTCAGATTTTTCCAGTGGTTCTCTAACCAATATCAGTTTACGGTAAAATCCCGCATATTACGTAATACTTTGAAGGTTTTAAGCAGGGTTATCGATGCATCTTTGGCTCAACTGACTGACTCTGTTGTCGACCGGCATTTTAACTTCTGCAAGCAGCTGGTTCAAGTCATCTTGTCTGATACTGAACACCCTATTTATTCGGAACTTTCCTTTTGTGTCTCTTCAGGTAAAACCGGACGAAATTCCATAAGAATTCATGCTTGTACGGCGAAATATAAAAATCCAACCATACCGTATCTAGAACGAGTTATGCTGTAAAGAGACAAGTGTCAGAAAGAGCATATACACCAACTTTTTAATTTGTAAATAAACAACAAATTATAACCAGAATTATTATTGAATATATTTTTTAAATATTGGTTTTCTAGGGATTTTGTTTGATTGTATGGAGGACTTCATCATGAGCTGACATTCGTTATATATATGTGGTGAGAGCAGGCTGCTAGCGAATTGGTTGACATTAATCTACGTCAATGTCTAGGTCACTAATATTGGCCGTGAGAAAATATGAACAAGGCTGTTTCAACAACCAATCACAGCAAACTTAAACGCGGGCAAAGATGATTCGCAGATAGGTGGCTCCACTTTCCGAGGAACTCGAAAACAACCAATCAGAAGACTGCGTTTGTCTACTTGACTAGGCTATAATAATGTATGTGAAATTTATATAAATACGTGTTGATTTCCGTAATAAACGATCTGTTGCCTAACCCTTGTCTTCTGTTGTTACATATATAGTTATCCTATCAACTTTTAGATTTTACGGTTTTATTATGTTTACTATTTGATGTAATTATTTATTTGTAAAAGGAAATAGATTGTTTTAATATTTACAACCCTGAAAATTCAATTCTGTATGAAAAATTGTAGCTTCATAACAAGATATACAGCCTATCTGCTCTACTATGCAGTAGATAAATGTTATGGCGGAGTGATACTGGATTGTGGATTAATCGAAGTTGACTAGATTGAACCATTAGAACACGACACTATATATCCAACTGACCGTTTGAAATTATCGCCTACACTAACAGTGGTCTAAACTTAAAGGCCTCATGCTGAATCCCTCAAAATGCCAGACTATCGACTTCTCCTTTAGGCATAAACGAGATCTATAAACACTAGTAAGCACTCATGAAGCCTGTAGCATTGAGGGACTAAAATTGGAACTAAGTCTAATGCAAAATACCTCGGACTAGTTCTATCTTCCGACCTTACTTGGTCATCTCATATCTAAACGATTTCTAAGAAAGTGTTTCGTCTAACCTACTACATTAAGGAACTCAGACTAACTGGAGTCACTCAACCTCTGCTTTCACAATTTGTCAACTCTCGTATCCTACCTATTCTACTTTACTGCTCCCTATTAGTCTTTCCTGGGCTACTGAAAAAGGAATATACCATCCTGAGATAGATGTTGAAGGAAGTTAGTAGGACTAGTGGTGTAAAACTCAGTCAGCTGGTCACTACATTAGTAGATAAGCATCTGAATACATGCGGAAAATGGTCTAAAACCATACTCACCGACCCCCAACACCCCCTCTATTCCAAACTCTCTCCTTGTATCTCATAAGGTAGAACCAGAAATCAGTATAAAATAATATATTCTCGTACAACCAAGTACAGGAACTCAACGATACCATATTTGACCCGTGTTCTAAGTGACAGAGACAATGTTAAGCGCGAAACCTATGACTTGCTTTGTTGTTAATAACATAATTTTGGCCCTTGTTATTTCCCCCTTATACTCTCTTATTTGTATTCTATAGTGAACAACCTTCTTAAGCATACTTAGCTACCTAAATTATTAACATCGGCTTACTTTTTTGTACTTTACTGTATTCCTTCTTTTGTGTATCTACTGGTTCCGACCATATTAGCACTATGAGTATTACGAAATTGTCCTGTCATTAACCTTCATGTAATATTAGTTTTGTGATTGTTTTTTTGTTCGGCAATATTAAACTGACAATCTTGGTTGTGAACACCGTTATCACCATCCTAAAATTTTTGTATTATGCATGAATTACTCACACTACCACAACAAACACTGCATTAGAGCTGACAATAAAAAACCATGTAATGTTTATTTTATGATTGTTTAGTGTAGTTCAATCAAAATAACTGATTATCTTGGCGATAAGCATTCTTAAATATCATTTCATAACTTCTTGTATGATTATAGCTGTTACTGTTCACCACGCATACACATATCATAGCTTCCACTGCCCAATACTGAAATATTATTCATTATTGGTGTTTATCTTCTTTTCTACCTGGTATTTTTATTTGCATTTTTTGTGTTTCATTTTGGTTTTCGTTGTTGTTTTTATATTTATTTTTTTTCGTAATACTCCTTTTAAATGTGCGATGAAATTGGATGCAAAACTGTAGATATGTGCTGAAAATTCCACACTGTACCACTAGTACTGTTTCTGGAATAAAAGCGAAATTACTATTATTATTATTAGATAGACACAAAAATCAGATTGGGAAAAATGACGATCGTTTTATTACATAAAACATAGTGTATTACATTTAAGGACCCTCAGAAATTTAAACTATGAATAAACTCATCAAAACTGTCCATTAATCTAATCATACTGGGTACACGCATAAATCACGACTTCACGGCTAACAAAGTCTGTCTGTTTTCGACATAGAACTTTGCACCGATGTGCGGCAGTTGGAGTCGCCACACTCCCTCCTTGTAGTACACAAAGTAAGAGAAGAAATGCATAACAGAGATAGTAAACAGATATATGAGACTAAGGAAGAGTAATAACGAAGAACAAAACAGTTTCATTGAAAATCATAAGTCACAGGGAGTGGATGCATCTGAGCCACTGAGAACGATTTTGAGCCATATCACTAATTGTTTCCAACCATTGGTTTTTACCAACCAGGAAGTCTACACCTTCCTACGTGGCTTAAACTAACTATTGCAGATTTCGTTGACTGGTGCCATGTTTTCATTTGACCGCCGCTTGCTCTTTTCTAGCTTGACCAGTCCTTTGTCAGCTAACATTGCCCACTGTTGAGGAAGGCGATGACTAGGCTGGCATACGTAACACATGTCCTAACCATCTCAGTCGATGTAACTGCTTCACGGCCTCCTCGACTGATTTCCCCTCCTTACCAAGCACTCGACCAATGCCTCACCTTATTATACCACTTCACACAGGAGAAAGAACGCAGGCACCTATGATCAAAGACAGCTAATCTTTTCATGTCTCTCAATGACCAGGTCCCACCAGCAGCCATAAAGGAGGACGGAGCAGACTGCTGAGCAGTACACTCGCCTTTTAGTCGATAGCCGGATATCACGTCTTCGTTAGAGACGGCGTAAACTGGCATATGCGAAACTAGCCCTCTGTATCCGTTCTGAGATTTCGTCGGAGATCAACCCATTGGGGTTGTTGGTACTTCTCAAATAAGTGAGGCGGTCAACGTGCTCTACCACTTGACTCCCTATTTCTAAGCCAGGAGTCAGTGTAGTCCAATCATGTATTATCATTTTCATCTTACATTTGGCGGGAGCGAATCGCATGCCAAACATTCGCAGATTGCAGCTCAAGGTGTTTAGAAGACTGCTCTATTTTGTCAGCGTCTTCACCTAGTAGAGAGGACTATATCGTCTTCATATTCTAAGTCAACGAGATTATTCCCTGGTAGCAAGTCAATCTCTGAGTCTCTGAAGTGAGTTAGGGTTAAGTCCATTAGTACATCTATGATGAAATTGAGTAGAAATGGGGACGGACGCCACTAGTCGTAAGCACTTCAGGTGACAACTCGCGGTAAGCCCTCACCTGGCTGCATGAATTCGAGTAGAGTGAGTGGCCTGATCAGTACAATGTATTTTCTCGGCATTCTCTTTACAGCCAAACATCGGCTAACAAAGAAGCGCTGCCGTCCCAAAAAGAAAAGATGCAATGCTCCTGAACCACTGAACTATGATCAAATAAATGGTCAGAATCTGATAGATCAATTCAATTTTCAATAAATGAAATATGAGGACGCAGTTTCCTGGAGTTCTAGTGATAAATCATGACCAGTGAGGCCCATCCAGTCAAGTGTGAGGATGGGAGGGGGTCCCGCCGATGACATTGGTTTGTAGTCGCGCGAATTTGTAGAAGTTAGGATTCATGGGCTGGTCATTGAATCAGGTCCCAGTGGCTGAGTGGTATACAAGCTTGCCTTGTAACCGGAAGGTCATGAGTTCGAACCTTGGTGGTGGGTGAGTACTATCGATGATTCCCAAACTAGGATGAAACAGCTATCCAGTGCTCCCTGATTTTCAATGGTTCTTTAACCGATATCAATGCATGGTCAAACTGCGAAAACAAACCTAATCCTTGGGTACTGTCATAGAGTATAACTCCATTATAGATAAAATTTTATTTTGATAAAATCACATAATATTGTTATAGAGTAATATTAACTGATGACCACGTTTCGAGCACAAACTATTGCTCATAATCATATCAAGGTACGTCTCACACAACTTTTTTTGCTTCATTTATATACATGACGTTTCCTGATTAAATTCTATTGACCTTTAATTATTACTTGTATACTCACAAAGGCGATTTATGAGTAGTAAGTACTGTTTCATTCTTGAAAGTAAAATTTTCTTGAAAAAATGAATAAGTTATTGATCATTTTTTATTAAAAATGACAACAGATGCACAGACTTCTGATGATAAAACACTTTTATAAAGTACATATTACAGAGGTAATGACTTATAAAATATAAAATAGTTGTATTCACTGAAATAATAATAATAATATTATTATTAACACACATTTGAAGAGAAAAGACCAAGTAATTTTGCAGTCTGAATACTACTAATAACTACTAATGCCAATAATAATAATAATAAATGCACATAGGAAATAAAACATGTTATTATTATAACTTCATAGATCAAGTGAATTGTATACCTTATACAATGTATCATAATCATAAGTAATTTTATTTAAATCAGCATAGTTACACAATTGTTCCAGTAAACGATGATGATGCTGTTTTATATTATCATTTGGTTTATTATAACTTTGATGTGAAAAATAGTCAATATTCAATTCAAAATCTGGACCATAACGAGAAAAATAGGAATGTTCTGGGATTTCAGGAGAAAGTGGAATCCTATAATTTAAAACAAAACAAAAATCAAAATAGAAATGAAACATGCTTAGTAAACATGAATGTCTTTCAGTATTATATCCAAAATGACAACTTAACATACAGTCAAAAAGTGTATGCACATATTTATTTATTTAAACGCATAAAGACTTGGTACAATATGGCACCAAGAAGGATGCGCCACACAATAATAATAAAACAACATAGATCAAAAGAAAAAAAGAGAAAAAATACATATAAGTAGAGAACGGATAAGGAACTTCATCTGGAAGGAAAACAGACATGCTTAACTATGGTTAACTATCATGGGGAAGGGAAGAAAGAAGGAAATTGCAACACGTGTAATAGCACGTGATAAGTTTCATTGATTGTTTGTTGCTTTATTCAATTCATTGTGTGAGGCCTGAGATACTGCCTGGGCGCCCAGACCGAAGCAGGTGGTTTTATTAAGGGACCACTCCCCGAGCCTTTGACTTGGAGTATTTTTTTAAGATATTTTTTTTTGTTTTTTCTGAGGTGTGTGGAGTTATAAGTGTGCACTAACGGAAAATCCTACACCAGGATGAAACAACTGTATTCACGGCTCCCAACAGATTTTATCATGCGGTGAAAATTACCTTCAAGTACTTATCAGAGTATCACAAAAGTTTATCAAAGAAATTTAAAACAATCATTTAGAAATAAGCCTGTACTATTCGTGCATAAATAATGCAGAAAAAAATGAAATTGTCATATGACAAAAAGATTTAAACAGGCATTTCAAAGACACTGCTATTTTGGTAGGGGAAAGGAATAATCTATTAGGGTATTTGTACACTTAACTGTTTTGCTAATTGTGAAGCTAGAACAGTAACATTTGAAAGGCGAGATGAACTTGTATCATTCCACAGGTTTTCCGTCAAACAGAGTTTGACAGAGAACCTGACACAGAGACCAATCAGTTCAAATTATTACATTTGATTCATAATATTCCATTGAAAGGAGGAAATCATTGGTATTAATATATGTGTAAAACTTGGGCACTGTGGTAGTAAGTAATTCCATATTGGTTTCTTTATTAGATGTATCACACAGTGAAACAGTATTATTTACTGGATAACAAAGTTTCGAACAAAATTTATTGCTGTTCATAATCATGCCATCAATTGTAATCACACGACTTTGAAACTTGAGTTTTATAGTTTTCTTTGTCCTCTCCTATTTGTCGTAAGGGTAGCACAATTTAGATATGATAGAGAAGATTTGTAGCTCAGGTGGATGATTTTGATGTGGTTTTGTTCTCTGAGCTGGATGGTTAGCACAATTTTCCAGACAGCCGACTGGACAGGTATTGAATCATTCCTATTACATGTATTTGCAGTTGATTCGATAAACAAAGCTTCTGTTATCAATCTCTCCCTCCATCCTGTGACATTAGATTTGAAGACTGTCATCCTATCCCATCCTATTGTATGGTTGTACATATTGGTACATATTGTATGGTACATATTTTCTACATTGCTTCATGTTAGGCATCTGATATACGATATTCCGTAGCCTACCACCTGAGTGGAACATACGGCTTCAGGCTTGAGCTTTCAAGTTTTAGTAGGAGTGGGGTTTATTTCTTACAGGGTAGCCTCACACCTAACTGTCCCTCCTTACTAAGCTCATTATTGGCTAGACGAGGTTTAGAAGTGCGTTGGCAGGGGGTCGACCCTTAGACTACGTACGTGTTTGGCGAGTATCCTACGACTGAACTACCGACGCAAGAAGCTATGAAATAGAATGAATTTATCTTACTCTGTAAACACTACACAACCTGAATTATTTCAGATAATACTGATGAATAGGAAATTTGTTTGTTTAAGATCGACTAAGCTGAACGGATTTTCAATGAACCAGCCTAAGAGCCACACTTATCAATGTGAGAGTTCATGATACTACCAAGCTGTCAAAGTTGATATAGGTGGAGTAACCAATCAACTGAAAACCCAGTGCTTAAACCTCTCCAAGAGTAAGAGAAAATTAGGTTAAACTTACTTTTTCGCTTTAACTTCTTCGATTGCCTGCGCTGTTATTCTTGTCCATAGTCTAGCTGTATCAGAAAAGTTGTATCCTCCACCACCAAGAATCAATGTTGGAATTTTCCATGATAATATTTTCTTCATAGCAAATAAATAACCGCTTAAACTACTTTCAGATTTACAATCTGACTCTGTATCAGATGTGGGATAAAAATTGGTCAAATTGAATATTCGATGTGGATCAGTGGCTAAACAATCAGCACCACACTGAACTACAATATAACTTGGTTGGATAACCATATTCAGCGAGTCAAGCACAGGTCCTACTGCTTGTGACCACTGAGAATCATTTATCTTCTCATCTGTAGGAAAGGAGAACAAGGTATGGAGATCGAAGATAAAATTTCTTACAGTCTGTTAACGATATCATTAGACAAAAATAATGAAGGATCTATTATTCAATCTAACAAACAAGTTTAAACTTAGGGATCTTAGGACATATTGAGTATGTGATACTGTGGTGAGAGCTGGCTGTTAGCCGAAGTTGGTAAACAGTAATTTACGTCAATGTTCATGTCCCCAATATTGGTCGTGAGAAAAATGAGAACAAAGGCTCTGCGTAGGCGGATACAGTTAACATATAGGTGATCTGACATTCAAGAAATAGCCACAAAGAGATGCGAAGTTAACTTTCTGTGAAACAACCAATCAGAGGACTGTGTTTTTCTGCCCACAATAATCTATAATATGTACATGAAAATCTATAAATATGTGTTGATTTTCCTTAATAAGGGATTGTTTCCTGGCCCTTATCTTCTGTTGTTACAGTACTACTTTGATGTATGTATAATCAAAGAATAAAATTTCATATGAACTGTGATCAAGACTCGACCAAATAGTTCCAAAATAGTTAGGCGCCAAATGAGGATTAGGCATACGTAAAAATTGTATTTGTAAAATCTCAGAGAAATTAAAATAGGTAACTGGAATTTCTTTAACTCATTGCGGTGAACAAAACTAGAAATAATCTGTTAGTAAGAGGATAAAACTTGAGAATTACAGTAGAATAAAAGCCCCATTATAAATAAAATTTTATTTCGATATAATGACACAGTAATGTTATGCAGTAATATTTACTGATGACCACGTTTCGAGTACAAATTATTGCTTATAATCATATCAAGGTACGTCTCATACAACTTTTTTTTGCTTCATTTATATACATGAGTAAATACTGATTAGACATTTGAATAAAATCAATATAAGACTTGCGTGAGATAGAAAATAAGATAAAGTACATTCGGAACCATTATAAGTGTTATCAATAAATATATCATGAGATATAAGACGAATATTGTTAGTCAGTAGGATGGGAAATAAGATGCATGAACACACAACCACACAATAGGGTGGGACAAAGTCACAATTCTAAAAAGTAATATAGGTAGGTGAAGAGGGAGAGAGAGATTACTGAATCTTGGTTCATCGAGTCTACATCCAACACATGCAACAGAAATGATTCAATGGAAATACCAGAGATATGGAAGATTTTATTACCAGTCAAATCAGAGGTTAATAAATAATGTTAAAATGTGTACACCGAGCCTCGGTGAGAACATCATCATCACTCACTGAGAAATGCAGTGTATCCAGATGACGAGTCCCAAATAGGACGAAATGCGCATCCTGGATTCCACTGCTAGCCACCATCCACCAATTCAATTCTAATTACATGCCCAGACATCGTTGAAGCATCTGCACAAGAAGCCGACATGTCAACCTGAGACCGAGCACTTCGGTCCAAACAATCGACGGTAAAATCAAAAATTCAATTCAGTAATGTTAAAATGTATTCAATTCACATTATAACATTCTAAAGTTACTTATTGTCATCATAAAAAAATCTTATTTCCCATTTTATTGTATTTTATCTATAATACTATTATTATTTCTGGATGTACTTTGTCTTGGTTTCATTCAAATATCTAATCGGTCTTTACTAATGTATATAAGAAGACAGTTGCAGTGAAGGAAATTTTCTTTTCGACGAAGTCATCATCTAGGCTGTACATTCGTGTATTTATATCAAATGGATGGGAAAGTTCCAGAATAATTTCCGGTTAAGGGTCAAATTAATAAAAATTACAATTAGGAATTAGAATGCCATAATAAACAGGGGGATGGATAAAACAAACAATTCAGGACATTCAGCGCATTTCGAAAAATCCTTCAAAGTAATACACAACATTCAGTCAAACCTATCAAAGGGAGTGAAATCAAGACATCTAGGCATAGCTGAGGCGCTAGCTATCCGAAAGCTCAAACTCCTGTCCTTGTCATGGCCATCATAAACAAGTAAATTATGTTTTTTTCAGTAATGACCATCCCATCGCCTTTCTTACCTAAACTTCCTATTTATTCATGTTATTTTTTAAGTTTTTCTTAATCCCTGTTTACACTAACATATTTCATAACCGAACTTAGTGTTTATTTTGTCATTTTACTATTTCTACATATTTAATCCCTGATTGCATAAACAATTATTCATCACATTAGTTTTTTCTATCCAAACATCCTGTCTATTTTGTTATTTCTACATTTCTAATCCCTAATTGCACAATGTCAATCTTCTTAGTTATTATGGTGCTACTTTGTTTTATCCATTCCCTGTTTATTATGGCATTCTAATTCCTAATTGTAATTTTTATTAATTTGACCCTTAACCGGAAATTATTCTGGGACTTTCCCATCCATTTGATATAAATACACGAATGTACAGCCTAGATGATGACTTCGTCGAAAAGAAAATTTCCTTCACTGCAACTGTCTTCTTAATAACTTCTATGACCCGCATGTATATAAATGAAGCAAGAAAGTTGTGTGAGACGTATCTTGATATGACTATGAGCAATAATTTGTGCTCGAAACGTGGTCATCAGTAAATATTACTTACTGTATAACACTGTGAGACCTTATCAAAATAAAATTTTATCTATAATGGAATATGTTAATAACACAACTCAAAAAAGAAGTGAAATGTTAATCGACAACAACATCAACTACAATTTGCACTTCTAAGGAGCTGATGATGAGCCATATCTATTACATGAAGACTAGTGATACTACACAGAGCATGGGATTTGAACCTGGAAGTCGAGCGCCTAGATCAAACTGCTACTGCTCCACAAATAACATAACAATATTGGTAAATTAGACTTTTATGGCATTAGTTAGTAAGAGTTATGTACTCTTTTGAATACAATATGTTTTGCTGGTGAAAAATTCGTGATTTTGAAGTGGAACTCTTCTCTAAAGAAAGAAAGAATTAGGTTAGAGAAAAACTAAAAGTAATATGGTTAAGCCTCCAACCAAATCCGTGTATTTTTTTAACTGTTGACTTCAGCTGTGTGGAAGATAAAATGTCCATAGGAAAATTGACAGTAATGAATGAGGAACACATCATAAAGCCCGAAATTGATCAGCGGGAATGCGCAGTCATATTTTATCATTGTCTTAATCATTCTAATACATCTCATTTTGTTTTTTCCCTTTTCGTGTTTCACAATACGTCATTTTATGTCTTTTAATTAGATTCTTCTACCATAGCTTTTAGCCAAATAAAAAGAAAGCTACAGATTAAATAATGTCGTTTACTTTCAAGTAAAATTATTAACTGACTACAACGTGATCACTAATTTACCACAGAAAAGCGTCATAAAATAAATTCTGATGTATCGCAAATAGTTTTCACCCAACCATACATCTACATTCGAGTGATATAAGGTGCCTGGCTGTCTCTCGAGTGAAACCTCAATGAGAAGCGGCGAGTTGGTCGTCAGTGCGAGGTTGACATATAGGAGGTCATGAGAAGAGAAGATGGAAGCATGTAGGCAAACGTGGAGCCAGGTGAAAACGTTGGCGGACAACCGAACGCAATGGAGACGTGCGGTTGAAGCCCTATGTTCCTCTAGGAACTGAAGGAGACAAAAATAATAGTGATGCATCTACATGGAGTTGAGTAGTAGATACACTCATCGCTATTATTGTTAGCCACTGCATCATGGTATTAAGAATTCAAACAGTAAATGTGACAGTACAGTGCAACACAGTGAATTTCAGTGTCACTGCCCCCCATCGGGTGGCGGCTTTACTGCGTCGGTGGCACGGCGGTTAGGACGCTCGCCGACCATGCACATGGTTCAGGGTTCGATCCCCGGCCACAGATGCACTCCTTTACCTCGCTAAGCCAGAAATAATGATGGTAAAGAGGAAAGGTTGGGCATGAGGCTAACAACCCCATCCTGTAAAATTAAACACTGATACAAAAACTTCAGGCCCTATGTTCCACTGGGAACGTGAAGGAAAAAAAAGTTTTCAAAGTAAGAAAAAAGACGACTATTTACTATGATGTTAAAAAAATCTACATCAAGAACTAACTACCTAGAGGTAGATTGAATGCTGAGAATCGACCACGACCAGCACCATTTGGAAAGGCCATATAATTACTGTCATCTATCGTATTCCAATCTCCAGTACCAGGAAAAAAACCAGGCGATGCATGATGTACAGAAAATGTAACTACACGAGGACTATACCAAAAAGCTTCTTCCACTCCATCACCATGATGAAGATCAAGATCGAGATATAATACACGTGTTTGAACACTGGAAATATTCGCTGGGATTTCTTGAGGACTGGATGATAACAATCGATGAATAGCCAAAACAATATCATTCATATAGCAAAATCCAGAGGCTTCACTTCTTTTGGCATGATGCCAACCACCGCCCCAATTGATAACTACCTGGAAAGTGTAATTTTAAACTGAATTATCAGTTATATTTACAAGACACATAAAAGCATTAAAATAATGAATAAATGTTCCACAAGTATCCTAAATAACCACACTGAAGTGAATCCCGACCGATGGCTGCTACCTTGACGTGGTGGTCGGACTTGCACATCGCGATGACCCAACAAGCTTCACTGGCTGGAACCAATGTTCCTGCAGGTCCTACCATACCAGGAAGGTTGTTAGGATAGCGATTAGCTTAAAGGCAGTTACCGGCATTGTGTAAGAAACTTTCTTACACTATGTTGGGGTCTGAGGGCGAAGTCGTACTGCTGGGGAACAGGGGTGTAACAGCAGTGAGGTGTTTCCCTCAGATGACCAGCATGCCAGCCAGCTATGCTGTGTCTACACTCCGGAGAGAAGGGGTTAGAAAAGGTCGACCCCAAAAATTGTGCATCCCGACTTACCCTACGGTGGTCCGTAACCGGCGGTAAGTTTACTAATACGGAACCCATCCCAGGAACCAGTTCACACAGGCCATGTGTGACCGGCCTCAAGCAGTTGTCCCCTGGGCTCTGCAGTCACGCAACACTTTCTGTTTCAGGTACTCGAAGAGTCAATCAACTCCCACGGTGTGGGCAGGCGGGAAGTAACAAATGCCCACACACTTCCAAAAGCACTTCCTGAAGTGAATCCACATAGTGTCGAGTAACATTACGATGACTTATCTACTTCTTACTCTTTATTTACTGGTTATTTCTTATTTTAAATAGACTTATCAGTTTTGCGTTAAAAGCTCCAAGAACTTATATCTACCAGTAGTATGGAGTACTACCAAGTTTCGCTACAACTGTAAGGGGAATAAAGCGATCAGAATAAGTTGCGATTTCATGGAAATTATCCAACAAGTGATATTTCTAACATTCTTAGTTATTTCATTGATTGTTATTTCCCTCTGACACATGTTTGTTCATTGCACTTTACAAGTGAGAATGAGAATTTACGTGAAAAGTTCCACTTCGGTTCATCTGTCTCCACTTGCATTGCGAATATATAAAGCGTACAAACCTATAAAATTAACTATGGAGAGGAATACAATCAAAAATATGCGAACTCTTTTATTGTAAGAGAGTTAAAAAAAAACTATTGCCAACGTTTAACTTACCTGACAGCATCGATGAAATAAAGCGTCAGCTGCAGCTAAACTACCACTGACTGCAGCTACAGCATAATCAAAAACACTGTTAAAGCCAGGACAATCATAATTCAATCCAAACGAATCCATGAGTAATTCATCGTCAGGACTTAACTCCCTTTCCTCAGTGTGTAATGTTTGCAATCTTCTGAGGGCATCAACATATTCTGCACTAAAAGGAAGTAGAAAAGAAATCAAATGATCATTGTTTGCATACAATACACTAATATCATTTGGACAGATGTGGTAGTTTGTATAATATATTCCTCTTGAATATTTGATGCGAAAATCTAGGGTACACTTTTGTACATGGTTCTGGTCGATATATATTGAGATTTCTGATGACTATGATTTTTTTCAGGTATCGGTTTTGTAGGGAATTTTGTTTGATTGCATGGAGGATTTCATCATGGGCTGACGTCAGCTAGAGAACCATTGGAAAACCTGGGAGTACTGGACAGCTGTTTCGTCCTAGTTTGGGACTCTTCACTAGTACCATTGGATCGGGTCTAAGCGTTTCAATGGTCTACGAGCTCACCTTGTAACCAGAAGGTCCTGGGTTCGAATCCCGGTGGGTGCGTACTTCTGAAGAGTCCCAAACTGGGGCGAAACAGCTGTCCAGTACTCCCACGCTTTCCAGTGGTTCTCTAACTGATGTCAGCTTTGATATTTAACCACTGTTCCACCTATGTGAGAAAATAGACCAGACTGCTAAAACCACGGGATTCAGGGAAATGAATTTAAGTCAGTTAATTGACCACTGTATTTACGAGGAAACATGATAAGCATTCTCAGTTAATAACACAGAAATAAGAAATGCGTGGATAAACATGAACTGAATTCCAGTCAGTCTAGAGAGACTCAGAATCCCACACGTGGATTTATACCTTACTAACCCTACGACAGAGTCTGTACATAGTCATATGTGCAAAGTATTACGATCTAACTGTATTTACAATTCGAACGCCAGTCTTGTCTGGTTTTCAATTGAGTGAATAGCATAAGTTTTAAAATATTGCTCGATCAAAGTCCTAGTTGCTTGCTAGGACTTGAGTCAAGCAGCTGGTCGATAACTTCTGGATACCAAAGTTGGTAGACTTTAAAATTTTGCTTAAATAGTCAAAATAACCGTATCACCAGCAAATGAAACGCCTAAACATAGAGTTCTTACAATCAATCTCTCATAATCATAAGTTCTCAGGACAGAAACGCCGTACCCATTAAAATACGTATTGATGCACTCTTGTGAAATCAGTATTAAGAGATCATATTGCTCACTCATAATTCAAATGTTTACATCCTTTTGTTATAACTGTAGGTAATTGAATGAAGACGTTTTCACCTTGCTCTATCTGCGCCTGAACTAATCTGCCTATCTGCTTGTCGTACCTTCCGATTTAGTAAAGCACGCAAATATCAAAAGACAAAGGCTGGACTGTGACTGTGTATTGAAGTGCAACAACGGCAAAGAAAGCCATGGTATTTATACATTTTACAACAATATGGACAGCTAACAGCATTTGAAATAATTTATCTTAATAGCCAATAACAAAGTGCGTGAGAGATGGTAATATACCATATGTGCGAGATTGACAGTCAATAACAAAATGTGTGGGAATGATAATATACCATATATGCAAGATTAACAGTCACTACCAAAATGTGTGAGAATGATAGTGAGAATGATAATATACCATATATACAAGATTAACAGTCACTACCAAAATGTGTGAGAATGATAATATACCATATATTCAAGATTAACAGTAAATACCAAAATGTGTGAGAATGATAACATACCATATATGCAAGATTAAACAGTCAATACCAAAATATGTGGGATCCTATCACCTCCCCCGTAAAGAGTGTAGGACTTGCTTTTTGGATCTATTTGAAAAGGTTTCGGAGCTCTTCTTTGTCGAGTTGACCTTTGCGTGGTACTGGATAGAGCGTGATCTGTGTGTCTGACACATAACTGTCCTTTTTCATTCGTACGATAATGCAGCAAGAATTTATCCAAAATTTCTTCTGTTGTTCCCTCCCCCTTCGCTTTTGCATAAGCACGCTTAAAGGTGTCGACGAAACGTTCAGTCTGTCCATTCGATTGGGGATGATACGGGGGGCTACGAATATGCTGGATGCCAAACAGTTTGCAGCAACCAAGTTTGTCCTGGAAGACAGAAGCGTGCTTTTGACGACGGCGTTGCAAGAGAGATTGATCAGATACATCTCCGGGAACAACGTTGTGTGGTGAAGACGAAACATTAGAGCATACTGAATTTAATGGTACATTAAAGATATGGAGCTTGTCTAACCAGTCAAGACCAAGCAAATTCAAATCATGGTAGTTTGTAACGTAACATACACCATTGAAGTGATGCTCACCAAACTGAACCTGGCAATTTATCTCACCCACGAGTTTCAGTATATCTCCAGAGACATTCTTGGCGACATGCTCGGTCGGCAGAATCTGTGGGCAACCAAGTTTGCGCCACGTAGTTCGGGAAATTACGGTGATATCTGATGCCGTATCCAACTGAAGACGAATACGTTTGCCGTTAATATCTAGTGTTATGTACTTACGTTTGCTGGCGAACTCGACTTTGGAAGTAGTGAAAACGGTCTGTACTCGAGGAGATTGTTTCGGCTTGAAACGACTACTTCTGTTCCTCACCGAAGAATTTTTCTGCGGTGTACAGTAACCCTCCTTATGTCCAAAACGGTGACAATTACGGCATTTATGTTTCTTGAAAGGACAGAACTTGACAAAATGCCACGAACCACAGTGCCAGCACACTGAAGGAGGTTTAGCTGAATTCTGAGACTGACGTTCTGTGTGCTTAACGGTGATCGGAGGACTTTTCACTGTGTTAATCGAACCAAATTCAGACGACTGTCGTTTGCACTCCACCATAGCAGTATCGTGCTTCAAGTTGATTAAACGTAGGCATTCTGCTGTCACCATTTGTAAAGTCATTTTCGGGTCTTGTTCCACGAGTGACAGAAGTCGAGTTCGTATGTCAGTATCTTCTGGGTTCTTCAACCCACAAATAAAAATCAAACACTTGAACTGATCTGATGTCATTTCGTGTGGTTTGAACCTTTCACATTCCTTGTTCACTTTGCCAGCGTAAGTGACATAATCATCGGAAGGCATTTTTGTCAACTGAAAACATTGATACCGAATATTAAACATGGATGACTGTTCACCAAAGATTTGTGATAAAACGGTGACTGTCTCATCGAATGATAACTCACGTGGGTTCTTAGGCAGAATGAAGTTAACATATCTGTTGTGCTCAACAGTACCAAGTTTTCTTAGTAACAATCGGACTTTGGCAGCATCATCAAACATGTAGCATTCAATACGGAAGACGTCTTCGTAACGATTGAACCATGCATCAAATACGAGACCAGATATTGGGTCGTAGTTGAACTCACTGATGGAATTTGAGATGCTTTCATATTTGTCAGAATGAGATGTTGATGGAACTTGAATGGACAGCTTCTGAGTGAGAGCTTCGATTAATTTTAGTTGAGCTGCTTCATTCTGAACTTGCTGCTGCTGCAAGATAGATTTGAGATCGTCCAGAGAGATAGACATTGTAATTGGGTTGTAATTAACACAGTCAAAAATGTTATATAGCTGCGCTGAACAGAATAAAAACTGTCGTCGTTTGCTTGTTATAGCTGCAATGAGTTAAAGTAAAACCCCGTCGCCGATTTGTTATAACGGTAGGGAATTGAATGAAGACGTTTTCACCTTATTCTGTCTACGCCTGAACTAATCTGCCTATCTGCTTGTCGTACCTTCCGATTTAGTCAAGCACGCAAATATCAAAAGACAAAGGCTGGACTGTGACTGCGTATTGAAGTGCTACAACGACAAAGAAAGCCATGGTATTTATACATTTTACAACAATATGGACAGCTAACAGCATTTGAAATAATTTATCTTAATAGCCAATAACAAAGTGCGTGAGAGATGATAATATACCATATGTGCGAGATTGACAGTCGATAACAAAATGTGTGGGAATGATAATATACCATATATACAAGATTAGCAGTAAATACCAAAATGTGTGAGAATGATAACATACCATATATGCAAGATTAAATACCAAAATATGTGTGATCCTATCACCTTTCCCCTTGGGTTTGGGTTATGAATATATTAACGATGCAAGGTAAGGGTCAAAAACCCATTGATTTCTGATACCGTTCGTTTCAATGAAAATTATATGTGCCTCAACTACAATCCGAAGTGAATTTAAGCGATTACCGTTTGGATAGCGAATGTGATCATTTAAGTGTTGGAACAAATAATAGAAAATGAACAAAGATATTTTACAGACTACTTAAAATACTTACGAATGAAAAGTGGTCAGTGTTTTATAAATATGATCAAGTGAATCCAATTTCAAAGGAGGTACACGAGAAAGTTCAGGAACAAGTTTATATGCATTGATCAGATCCATAACCAACGCATAGCGATCGCCAAATTTAGGTGAGCTGCAACATATTCGTCTGTACTCATCACCATAAACAATCCCAATAGACATGACAGTCGAAAATTGATTTGACAGAAGATGAATACGTCAGTGATTCATATTTCACGACCAAATTGTCCCGAAAAGACGGTTAATCTAAAGAAAATATGAACAGACATCCATTAGATTGAGAATGAAACAATAAGAGTCAGTAAAAAGAATGCAATCACACAGTGGCAACATCAAAATATTGGTTCATCTCTTGCTGTTCATATCATAATGTGCCAAGCTTTTGTTTCAATAATAGTAAAACTGAAACGAAATGCTGTGTAGGGAATAGTACTAGTTTCTAACTAGTCGCAAGAAGCAAATTTCCAGACGCAAACCACACGACTGGTTTTCGAGATTTACGGTGATGCATTTGTAAGTGCTCAGTTCCAAGACGACCGTGAACAATGGTGGACGAAAAAACTGAGAGAGATGGAAAAGGCATCGGCAATTGGTAACACCAGACAACTATTTAGACTTATCAGGGAAACAGATGGTAAAAGACGAACAATAAGTGAGACAATCTCTAAGTAAAATGGCACCCTAATTAGCTCCCAAGACAGACGACTAGGATGTTGGAGAGAATACTTTCAGGAGCAGTTTAGTTGGCCTACAGCCGCAATCAATCTACTGAACATCCAACACCTCCCTGAATCGGATATAAACACAGGTCCTCCGTCCCTAACTGAGGTTACAAAAGCTATCACTAGTCTGAGATGAGTCAAAGCTGCGGGATTTGATGGAATGACTCCACAGATGTTTAAGGACTGTCAGATACAGAAGACTCGCTTGGTATAATGCCAACTTACGCCATCTTTAGCACAGGCGTGTTATCCAGACGGCTGCCAACCAAAAGGCATGCGTACTGCTCAGCAGTCCGCTCCATCCTCCTTTATGGCTGTGACTGAGACCTGGCCACTGAGGATGTAAGATACGAAAAGGCTAGCTGTCTTTGATCATCGATGTCTGCGTTGTGTCTGCCGTGTGAAGTGGTATAATAAGGTGAGAAATATTGATATGAGGTATCGGCTGAGCGCTAGGTAGGTGGGGGAGACAATAGGTGATGTGGTTCAAAATCGTTCTCAGTGATGGTGCAGATGCATTCAGTCCATGTGACCTATAATATCCAATAAAAATATATTTTCCTTCCATATTATTATTCTTTTTGCCTCACATTTCTGTTTATAATCTCTTTTGACTTTCTTCTTTTGCTTTGTGTGCTGCATGGAGCGTGGGAATTGGAGATGCTGCACACCTATGCAGAGTCCTACGTTGAAACCAGTCGTTCAGATCATTATAGACAGCTGATATGACGTCACCCTTTAATTGCCAACATACCTGGGAATAAATCTAGTCGATTTAACTCCTTCGTAAATGAGAGGTTTGGAAGTCCTTTGATCTGTAGAATCCCACTTTTCGTCCTTTTCCAATATACTTGGTTTGTATTTGGAACATTGATTAGCTGGATGGATCCCATATTCCACATGAAGTCTGATACAAAATACAGAACTTGGAAATGCTTTATGTGGGACCGGTAATATTCAAAACTATTAGCAGCGGTTACTCTACAATTAACTGATGGTTTACAACCACTCCTGAGTAAATGCCCTTGGTAAGAGCAGATAGAGTAAAGCCATCTTTTGAGTAAATAGACGTGTTCTTACGAGTGACATATATAATAACAACATTGCTTATATCAACTTCCAAGGGCTAATGTTTACATCATTTAGTTAAGATATCTGCATCTTCTTGTAAAACAAGTTGATCTCTACCTAATCTTTTACCGCTTTATCAATCGCAAAACTACCTAATTACCAAGACAAGTTTGAAATTGAACAGAGCTACAAGATCTACCGTTAAATGACAACAGCATGGTCTCTACTAACTAGTGGACAATGAATAACTGAACTACTTATATTTAGACTAGTCTCCTAATGTCTCGTCCAACTTTGGGTTGAGAAAGTGTTCCTTTTCTCTATATTCCATTATATAGAGACCATTATGGCGGGGTGAAGAGACTAATTGAACTGAGAATATGTGCATTGACCATAACCTGACTTCGTTGATTACAGAAGCCCGGAGCTATCATAAGTTATTCATACTTCATGGAACTGCTAAGTAGGTACATTTTTATCCCACCTGTGTTCACAGCAGGGACAATTGTAGTACCCCTATACAAACTGTAAACATGCTTTTAATCTAATTTGTACACTTGTATTATATGTGTACACAGACCGATTTTATTTGTACTTCGCAAACATTTGTCAATTTACTGTTGAATATTACCTTGACAATTTCGAAATTTGACTACTGCTATAATACACGATCGTACTCTTCGCAAGTGCCTTTTGGTTTTACGTTGTGGGCGTCGAGTAGCCACAACGTCTATGCACATTAATAAAAGTGAACTACTAGAATATACGTGTACGCAAGTTTAGTCAAATAATGCACGCAATAAATTGGTGAGCCCGATGACACAATCACCAGATTAAGACTACTAAGTCTAAATTGTGAGAATGTTTTTCAATTGGGTCAGAACTACTTGATTCTTACCAACTACACACGACAATATTGAATGGATGTTGCATATTGGGGTGCTCACACACCTTTACTTCCGGTCTAGTAATTTTTTAATCTCTGCCTCTACCTATACTGGGGTAAGACCTCCTGCTCACTCACCACCTTACCCTGCTTAAGTGGCCTTTTTAATATTTCACTTCTAGTAACGTTATCAGACTGCAGCCCACCTTAACTTTGCCACTATGTCTGATTTAATGGTCAAGATTATCTGTGAATTAGTCTACAAGGCGGCTGGAGTTGAAGAAATAGACGTCCAGAGGAACGATCAAACGATTACCATAGAACGTTCTAAACAAGGCAAATAACACCATATTCAGTCAAAAGGTTGTTGAGAGAGGTACAAGAGTGTAAGACAGAATATCGTGTTATTCCAAGGTTACGTTACGGGAAAATCAGAGAACGGTTGAGTTATGAACCACACTCAGTCGGACACATATGGGAAAGGAGAGATTACGTATTAGTTAAAGTGGGCATAATTTCGGGCAAATGGAAAGGATGATAATATAGTGGGAAGTAATCAAAGTATTGTTGAAATAATGGTTGAAAATTGGAAAGTATTGGTTACATAACGAAAAATTTTGGTCAGATTCCTGCAAACTATTGGTTAAATTATAAGAAAACAGTTCAGTAATCGTTAGGCATTGGTTAAATAATGCTCGAAATGGGAAAAATTAACTCCTATAACCAAAATTCACTACTTTTTGTTACTATTGGCCTTTCCCAGTATTCAATAGTCTTTTTTATACCATTTTTGTCAGACTGGACTGTCATTTGGAGCTACTTAGTTTGTTACTTCCCCTTAATGTCTATTCTTTAACTTCACTAGCTGGAAACCCAACAGATGAAAACTTTTATATGAAGTTTTCCGATTTACTCAGTCATCGAGTTGTTGAAGGAGAGCGTTTCACCTATTTCGTCACTACAACTTTGCAGCATTTATGCTGCCACAAATCAAACAGTGAAGCTATAGTTTAAAGGGTAGGAACATCAGCGGTCAAGGCGAACTTAAGTCAAGCGTGTTTGATCTAACTATCTCATAAGGATGAAGTGACCGACCATAAGGTATTGTAGCGCAGCTGTCATACAGTCGCTTTATTTTATTTCTTAGAACCTTGAAACACTGTTGCCGGCATACAATATCCAATATCCTGATTACGACCTAGTGTAAACCAGTGATTTCTTCGAGTTCGCTTCTTGATTGTGAGGTAGAGGTTCCAGATCTTCGGTGAGCTTCTGCGTAGTAAGTTCCGCCAGTCGACTGCTTTAGCTCTGGTAGACTCCAAGAGGAGTGGTGCGGGGATTGGTCAATATGTGGTTTGTAGTATGCAGTATGTTAGGACTGTATTGCTACCGTGAATGGAGTTTAACCTAAATCCCGTTGGTCATTCGGTGAAGTCATAAAAGCAGGGTGGGGTTGGGCCCCCCAGGCCGGGGTTCGAGCCCACGCCGACGCACACCTAATATCTATGGTCGGCCTGCGAATTTCGGGCTACCGATATCCACGCTGAAAATTCCATACTTGTACCAAAAATACAGTGTGTGATGAAGCTGTAATCAAAAATAAAAAAATAATAAATAGTAATAATAATAGGTTGTAGTGTAGATAATATAGGTTGAGATAAGTGAAATAATAAAGGTGACCTAAGGAAAAGATAGAGTAGTCGGTACAGTGAGAGAAGGCAGAACAGGTCGTGGGGATTTAGTTTGTATGCTTATCCACTGACAGTGTGGTTTTAAGTTTTATGAGGATAAGCCATTGAGACACAAACCTTGCATTTCTGCATGATTGTCTAGCTTCCGCTTAAAAATCTCCAGAGATGGCGCTGTAGTCACGGCCGCCGGTAAAGCGTTCCAGAGACGGCAAACTCGAAGCGAAAAGAAATGTGATCGCACTCGAGTCTTTGGTCTCTGGTGTGCTATCCTTAGCGGGTTACCTCGTGGAAGCCTATAATCACTTAATGGCAGGATGCTTTTATTTGGGTGGGCCTGGTCATTTAAGATCTGGTAGACGGTGATGAGGTCTCCCCTGTGCCTACGGTAACTAAGTGTGAAAAGACCTAATTTCTTTAGTCTTTCCTCATATGATTTGTTGCGGAGGCCGATCACCCATTTTGTCGCTCGTCTCTGGACACTTTCTAGAATGTTAGCATCCCTTTTGAGTAGCGGAGGTGCAATGATATTATGCACCTCAAGGTGTGGCCTCACATATGTCTTATATAACCTTAAGAACAGTTCGGGAGTGAGAGCTCCCAGCTGCCTATGCATAAAGTGTAAAGTTGCGTAGGCTTTGGCGACGTCCCTCGCGTAATTTCCACTGGTGTCTAGCTTTTCTGTTAGAATAAGACCTAGATCGCGCTCTGATGGAACACAACTCAAGTTCTGGCCACCAAGGGTGTAATTTACACTCTGTGACCTGCCGGAATGAAGTTGCACTACTTTGCACTTCTTTAGGTTGAAAGGCATTCCGTTAGCCAGAGCCCAGTTTCCCAGAGTTTGCAGGTCAGCCTGCAATCTATCTGAGTCTTCCGATGAGTTTATTGCTCTCCAAATCTTTACGTCGTCAGCGTAAAGAAGCGCAGAGCAGTTTAGTTGGGAGGGCAGGTCGTTGATAAAAATCAAAAACATCAACGGCCCTAGGATAGAACCCTGAGGAACCCCTGATGCCGAGGTGTGCCAGGATGATCGGATGCGGTTGACTTTGGTGCAGAATTCTCTCTCGCCTAAGTAATCTTTCAGCCATGCGAGAAGTGCTCCAGAAACACCCGCCTTGCTTATTTTGTGAAGGAGCAGACCATGGTGAACTGTGTCGAATGCTTTCGCAAAGTCGAGAAAGATCACGTGGGCTGGTACCTTTTCGTCCCAGGATAGTGTCCAATCGTTCCAAGCTAGTAGAAGATTCGTCACGCAGGATCTTCCCCTCCTGAAACCGTGCTGTGCTTCGTGAAGAAGGTTAGTCCCATCGAAGTATTTTCTCATGTGGTCGTCAATGAGACTTTCCAATATTTTCGATATCACTGGAAGTAGAGCAACTGGTCTGTAACTGGTCGCATTCTGCCGGTCACCACCCTTGAAGATAGGGGATAGGATTGCTCGTTTCCATTCACATGGAAGTTTCCCTACATCAAGGGAGTGTTGGAACAGATCACTTAGGGGTTGGCAGAGACTTTCTGAACACTGCTTCAGGACAGATGGTCTGATGTCATCACAACCTGAAGACTTTCCCGAAGCCAACTTTCCCAATTTTACAAGTACCATAGCCGGGGTAATTTGAAATGTACCCAGCAGGTTTTCGCGCGTTGGTTTTGCGATGTAATCTTGATGTTCTGTGGGGTAATATCCTCGTTACTGTTTAGTTGCCTGTGAAAGGCTAGGCTGAATGTCTCTGCCATTTCAAGACTAGTAAGAGATTTCCCATCAGAACCCACTAGATTGCATGCTCCCTGGTTGGTCGGTTTTCTTTCGGACATAAACCTGTATAGGCTTTTGGGGTTCACGAGAAGCTTATTGGCGAGGTTTCCCTGAAATGTCCTTCTATCGCTCCGGACTCGTATGTTACATCGATTCCTGAGTTCAAGGTACACTTCATGTTCGGGTTGACTCTTCGATCGTCGCCACGCAAACCAGGCTTTTCGCTTCGCCTGCAGAAAGCATCGTTTTCACATGACCTCCTCCAAGTCACTCTTAAAAGACCACGTCGTTTTCCGGTAAAGGGTTTTGTCAGCCACGTCTCGTAAACCGTTAGTGCCCAGCTCTTGCTACGCTCGGGCCCACGCTGTCGCTTGAAGTTTCTCAGAAACGCTTAGTAATAACGGACGCAAAAACCAAAACACCGATTGGCCACTCGAGAATTCTTTATTGTAACACCAACATATAAACACTATAACAACTAAGGTCTGTGAACCAATATTACAATAATGAGTCACAATATTACTTCTGACGGTTTGCTGATGACTTCTTTCTGAACAGCGACCGATGAGACGATGACTGTCGTATTGATGCCTCCGCGAAAATTGAGGAAGTTGGTTTTGAGCAAACAACCATGAATTGATCGTTCAATCGTCAACTTCATTGACTCCCTATTTTCCTCTAGGAATTAAACGATATAATAATAATAATGCGAGCGATTGCCTGTCACATCATGGCTTTTACCGAGAACCGTATGGAAATCACCTGAGACTGATAATAACACTTTCAGAACCGCACAAATAGTTCCATTGGTGTTTTGAGGCCAGGAAGCTTCGCAGTACAGACGACAATAAAGCCTTTGCAGAAATTTATCAACAGCGGATGAAATTTGAAGTGCGCTTAGTTCAGAATGCATTGGAACGTACCAGGAAACTTTTCAAATTGCAGCTTCAGGAAGAAGATTGTTTTGAGTCCCGAAAAATTCTGCATGACATCTCGTTCTTTCTTTCCTTCTGTTTGCATCGAAAACATATAATTTCATTTAGCCCACCAAGATCCCTCTCCCATTACTCTCAAATTAGCTGCAGATACCCGGCTTTAATTAATCTGCAGAGTAATATCGACCTTATTGACAACAATAAGCTCACGACAAATGCATAACCTCTGGACTGTATCGTCTAAACTTTAATCAAATTCTTGTTGGTGGCTAGCCTACTTGACGCCAGTAAATTGAAGCAAGAATTCTATTAAGCAGTAGGCGTTTCAGAGGTTGATGGTATAGACGTTCGCGTACAGTACTGGGTATATTAGTGCAAGCTCTTATACCAACAACTTCTAACGCATTTGAATCTCGCGTACCAAAGGCAGAGCAAAAGACTACAATCCGTTGTCCAAATTATGATATATATTTCGGAACCAAGTCGCGGATTGAAGCGGAAGCTAAGCTAGCTAGTTATCGTGCACGACAGCGACACGGTGGGGTACCAAATGGTGGGGATGCTTGACCGAAAGCCTTCAGCTAAACAAGTCTAGTTAAACTCTAAGGGTCAGCATCCAATGTTCACTGATGAATCTTATGGTCAATAATTTTGGGAAATTATTTACCGCTACAGAGTCATTAAATACGTTATTTAGTCAATCCCTCGACTATGTGATTCGCTGCATTCATTAGGGTCACCGGGTCACCCACTATGACGCGTCGTAATACTTTACCATTAAATCCACTATGTTTAGACGCTGAGTGTAAGATCAGTTCAATTCCCATCCTTGAATCGAGTTAACCTGTCCCGGATCAGCCTAGCGTTGTTGCAACCCAATTATCCATGCCTAACATGTCTATCCCCCCTTGTTTAATGAACTGTGTGTATGTGTTTTTACATCTATCCGTTTAGTCAGACAGTTGAACTCATGACCCAACCAGAGTATTTGAACTGTTATTTTTGCTGACCCATGTCTTACTTTGTACTATTCTGTCCAGTTGATCTTATTTATTGATCTTCATCTGTATCTTCTTACCTGGTTAAGTAGCCAATTAAATTGTATCTTTGTGCCTATGCTCTGTCTATCTCTTAACCTGCCTTACATGGGTTCATTCTTGTACTGACTGTTTACCTGAACGGTCGTGTCCGATTCCGGCTAGTTTTCAATTTCGGCTTTAACGTTATTCCGCTCTGATAGCGGTACCTTGCTTTCTGTTAAGCGTTGTGCTTTGTACTCTTGAAATCGTTAAGTACCTTAAAAACAGTGACCGGCTTCTTGTTTGTCCTGGACAGGGGTAGCCTTTATCTACGCGTGACTTAATTTCAAGCGATATTGCGCTTACACTGGGGATAACCCAGTTTGCACATTCTCATATCCCCATGATCATGAGCTGAACTGCCTGTCATCCATGACCTATTCCCCTTACGATACGTTCTTAAGAACTTTTATCTACTCTTTGTATTTCTGAAGACATGACTACATGATATATCGATCATATAATTTTACTTCGATCACTCTTCACCCAAACCTGCTGTTTCCCTAGTCATGCATCAAGCTTTATTACCAATGGAAATTTACTGGCTCTCTTCCAGAAAAGCGAACTACCTGTTGGTGATAGAATTCTATATCCTAATCCTTTATTTTGGCATCGTAAATTGTCAGAGATATCGTTTATTGAGACCTTATTATCTTCTGATTTCAACGAT